ATTCTGTGATTCTGTGACAAGAGTCACAGAAAATGTGGCAGAAAATCATCATTCTTTTTAAATGCCTGGGCTCTCTCTGCATATTGGGTGGTTGAAAATGTAATGTTGATGGAGAGCATGGGCTCTGCTCTTGCATAGCTTTTTTCCATTTATGTCAGTTGTACATTCTTGTACCCTCAAAAGCACCTCCTAATAGGATTAAAAGCCTGATGCAAAAGGAAATCTTCATACAGCAGGTTTTTTTACAAAAGCCAAATGTTTGACCAATGGTACCTACAAGCTCAAATATGTTCTCTTACCCTAATTCCTTCCCTGTATTTTTCTCTTGGCCCCAAGGAAACAGCCGTGTCACAGATCACTCTAATTAACACAGGCTTCAGAAGAAGAGACTACAGAAGCAGTGCCTGCAGGAACTTTGAAAAACACCATCAAATTTCAATTTTCTGTGCTCTAGTTACAGCACAGAAGCGAAGTAAACAAAAACCCAGCCCCAGTGCAATGGTTGCATTATGTATGAGCTACGTGGCATCCAGGAGAAGCAGGTTATGTCTTTATTGAGGCTGTCTTATAATTCTCATTGTCTGCCTTCTTTCTCTAGACGAGGATGAGTGTGTGGTGGTGAATGGTGGCTGCCAACACGGCTGTGTCAACACACATGGCTCCTTCCACTGCCAATGCCGGGTGGGATACAGGCTCCATGCGGATGGGCGCACCTGTATAGGTAAGTAAACATTGACAAGCACTTCACGTGCTTCCAGATGTGGTTTTTCTCTGCTAACCCTGTCTTTGTGTAAGTGCAAAGGTTTGTAGACTTCCCCAGTCTGAGTTTTGACTAATTCACAACGGATGTCACTTCCAGTTCAAGCAGTTCCATTCATGTCTTTCCAAATTTGTTCCTTTATTTTCTTTTTGTAAGCGAAGCAGTGGTGGTGTCCTGTGTCTCTGTGATGCAATCTTGTCAAAATCTCTTTTGTTTTTCAGCAGGCAGCAAAGAAATAGGGGGTCTTAATTTCCAATTAAAATGTTTTTTTCAATTCTGAGCGTTTTTTCTTTGTGTCACATCCCCTTGCATGTTCCAGCTGTGTCCTCAGCTATTCTGCACCCATTACTCTTCCTCTTTCTTAGTCTTTTTGCCTGTTGCCTGTTTTTGCTGAAGAGGTACAAACAGTAGATAGTGAAATCTCCTGCCCATGGGTGCCTGGCAGAAATGCTGCTCTTCCAACCAAGCAGTCCCAAAGTACAGCTTGTGACTTCAGGGATAAAGACAAAATAAAAGATTGTGGTTGCCACCTTGAAGTTGGTTTTAATCCAATCTGCAGTATGTGAGCATCTCCATCAGACTGTCCATGAGCAGAGGTAGGGGGATATCATTAACTGGGTCAAGGGTTGAGATGATGAAGTAGAATCTATAACTGTGCTACAGAGCAGAAAATCCCCTCGGGAGGATCCAGAGCAGAGGCCAAATTTGTTGATTACTAAGATACATTTGAGAATATGGTGCTATGGGCTGGTGGCTGGAGAGAGAACTCTGGAAGTCTAATGCAATATCTGAGTGTGTGCTCAGAGGTCTCTGGTTTTCAGAGGGTGTATGAAAAGAAGCAGCCCTACCCTTTGTCTCTTCTCTTCATTCTTTGCTGTATGTTGTATTTTTTAGGTAAAAGCAGTAGTGCAGAATTGTCTGGTTGGGTCTGTTTTACATTTTAGTTATTAGGGGGAGTGAGAAGTATGCGTGGGGTGGGCTGAAAACTATCCTCCAAGGCATATTACATGAATGTTTAGTTTGTACTAATCCTTTTAGCTCACGCAGGAGGTGCCCGTGCATGTGAAGCTAAGAGTTTTGAGCACATTTCCTGAGATCCTGTTTATGCTGTGGGCTGATCATTAGGGTGCTCTAGATCTGCAAAAGCTCCTTGTTCCCATAGCGGCCTACACCCTTTGATCCATTCCTTTATCTACGTTGGTCTTTAAATGGTTGCACTGCTCCTGTACATCAAGGATACATCTTCATCCCCTGCAGCCCTGTTTGTAACATCTCTATTACAACTGATACCAAATTTCCCTTGCTCAGCCAGCAAAACCTGTGCTGAGTTCCTCTGTTGCACACCCAAGCAAAAGACAACACGTGAAAGCCAATAACAAAAGAAGTTGTAAAGCAAACTGATTGCCTTTCTTTAAATTAGTTTTACAGCTCCCATATTGAAGATCTTCAGTTCATGAGTGCTTGCTTGTGGGTGCGTTCCTCCTCCTGCTGACATTAAAGGTAGAGCACAGGCTGGCTGCAGGTCTTATCTCAGCAACTGCTCTGCTAATCTGAACGATGATCTTGGTTGTCCTGACAGGCATCGGCTGTTCACAAAATCATAGAATGTTTTAGGTTGGAAGGGACCTTAAAGCTCATCCAGTTCCACCCCCCCTGCCATCAGCAGGGACACCTTCCACTAGACCAGGCTGCTCAAAGCTTCATCCAACCTGGCCTTGAACACTTCCAGGGAGGAGCAACCACAGCTTCTTTGGGCAACCTGGGCCAGTGTCTCACCACCATCTTGATTCTTTCTAATATCTCATCTAAATCTCCTCTCTTCCAGTTTAAAGCCATCACCCCTTGTTCTCTCACTACCTGCCTTTGTAAAAAGTCCCTCCCCAGCTTTCTTGTAGCCCCTTCAGGTACTGGAAGGCTGCTGTAAGATCTCCCCAGAGCCTTCTCTTCTCCAGGCTGAACAACCTCAATTCTCTCAGCCTGTCCTCACAGCAGAGGTGCTCCAGCCCTCAGATCATCCTCATGGCCTCCTCTGGACTCATTCTAACAGGTCCATGTCTTTCTTGTGTTGGGAGCTCCAGAACTGGACACAGAAATCCAGGTGGGGTCTCAGGAGAGTGGAGCAGAGGGGCAGAATCCCCTCCCTCGACCTGCTGCCCACGCTGCTCTGGGTGCAGCCCAGGACACGGTTATTTGCCTTCTGTGCTACCAGCGCACGTTACCGCCTCGTGTTGAGCTTCTCATCCACCACCACTCCCAAGTCCTTCTCTTCTGTTAGTCAGAGGAATCCTGTTCCAAGAAACAGACATTAGAAAACAGTAGGAAGAGGGTGGATATGATTCTAGAGCCTATACTCTGTTTTTCAGATTCAGATGCAAAGACACCTCTTTTCAGTATGGAGTTAACCCATGATTGCTCATGTCAATGAGAGCACCATGCAGCTCAGCAATGCAGCTAGTTGTGTGACACAAGCCCTGTTTCTGTGCTTGTGGAAAGGATTAGCAGCTCTGCCATTAAAAATAAACCCTATGTTTGGTTGGACTCTGAACCTGAAACCAGAGCCACTGAGTTAATTCTGCATCTTGCTAAAAATAAAATAAAATATAATGTCCTTGTGTTGCTTTTAAATCGGTACAAAAGTCAAGTTGTTGAATTCTGCAAAAAGGATTAAAATGTTCTGTCATTTGGGAAGCAGAAAAGGATGTCATTTGTTTGAATTTTTAAGCCTGATTTTAGGTAATATGAGAAGAAAAGTCTAGTATGGTCAGACCACATCTGCAGAATAAGTTCACTCACAGTTTGGTCATTGTCTCGGTTCTTGCACAAAGTCCCTTGGTTGTGCTTAACATCAGCCAAATATGTAATCAGTCATTTCTGGTGTTATCACAGCAATAAATTTACTGATGCAACTAGGACACAAGATCTACCAGTGCTCAAGCTGTGGCAATAATGGTTTCTTGTTTAAAGAACTTATCCTTTTAGGTTTTTTGGGTTTACCACATACAGAGACTTCCAGTGTTTTGGTAATTAACTGCAACTAAGAATACAGTGAAGTCTCAATCTTTTCTTGATTACCTTAGTTGGAGAAGGAATAGGTAAAGAAACACCAGTGTGAGAGAAAAAAATAATGTAAAAGCAGAGTGGTTCGTATTTAACAAGAAACACTAGTGTTTTTCTGTTAATTAAAAGAAAAGAGAGAGATCCATCTCTCTCTGGTCAGCTCTGACTAGAGAAGACGCAGAAGTGAATGATGTGATGTTTGAGTTTGGTTACTCTCTCTGAATAGTCTCATGCTGTGGTGGAGAAGGAGTTTTATACAAATAAGGAGTAAAGTGGTTTTGGGGAGGAAAAGAGCAAGAGAACTGAACAATAGACACCAAAAGTAGATATTGTGGCAATTAATTTACCTGTTTAATATGTAAAACTTTCTGTGGATGTAGAATAATAAAGTTTTCTCATGGCACAAATAATCAAGAAGCTCAGTTTAGAGTTGTCCTAGCTATGAGCGTTATCAGAAAGTGAGTTTTCATTTTACAAATATAAGTATTCACAAGAAGTTATGGAAAGTGCCTAACACTGTCTTCAGTTCTGTTTGTTGTATCTCAGAAATTATCGAGGAGAAACAGAAATAAATCCTAAAATGAGAGACAGGAGTAAGTTTCAGAGAGAGCTGCTATCATGATAATGGATATACACAATCCTGAGCAGAGGATATTGAGTTCTGTTTCAGCTGTTTAGACAAGACACCAAAATAAATGGATATAATAAACTCATGCATTGGAGCACAAGACAGTTACTAATTGATGAGGATAGGGAGAAGCATTTCATATAAACCAGTAATCCAGGAGTGTCTGGCACTGGGATTTGGGCACTAACTGCTTGCATTGACCAGTGGGGATGGAGAGTTTGCCTCTCCTGCTGCACCAGTTTACACATTATACAGTTCTGAGCACTCATCCGATCAAGTAAACCCAATCGTGCACCTCTCTGCTGACCTAGTCCAGCTAAACAGAACATCTAACATTTCAAACAGGGTTTACATTAGCAGTAATATTTCCTCCATGGATACTTTAGAGGATGTAACCATCTTTCCATCATACAAAGAATAAAAAAGAAGTAAGCATCCCTTTAGACAAGTTTTTCACATAAACCCAGCCCAGATTTCTCTTCTGTTCATTCTTTCTGCATGTCTTCTTTTTCTTTTTGGCAACCCTGCGTTTCTGGGAGCAAAAGTGCCAAAATCACTTGAGGGGAAACAGATTTTGCAGCCTAGATGGTTTGGAAGTCTCCCATACATGAGCAAGTGGATCTATCTTCTTTTAAGATACACAGCCTACATCTGAAGAGTAAAAAACCTGGGATACTTTCTCATGGGATTGCTTAGAAGATTACTGAGCTCCTGTCAGAAGTTTTTTCCAGCAAGTCCCAGTGACAGGACAAGGGGAAATGGGCAAAAACTGGAACACTGAAAGTTCCAGACAAATTTAAGGAAAAACTTCTTTACTGCGAGGGTGACAGAGCCCTGGGACAGGCTGCCCAGAGAGGCTGTGGAGTCCCTATCTCTGGAGATGTTCAAAACCCACCTGGACACTTTCCTGTGCAACCTGCTGTAGGGAACCTGCTTTGTCAGGGGGATTGGACTATATGATCTCCTGAGGTCCCTTCCAACCCACACCATTCTGTGATTCTGTGAAGTCCAGTCCTCCTACCACATCATCAAGTGTGCGTGGGATCCTGACGGATTGCTGGTAATCGCTCCCATGATTCTCAAAATACATGGTTTGAAGAAATCTGTTGTTTGTCGTTCCTCCTACTCTCATAAGAGACTTTGCTCGTACTCTAAGGCAAACAACCTGGGAAATGGGTTGTCTTCTTAGTGATAACTAGTGTGTGAAAGAAAATACTTTCTTCTTGATTCCTTTGATGATCTCTGACACTTAGTGCCATGCCAGCATCCCATCTCTATCAATGCTGCTTTTCTTCGTAGCTTTTTGGTCCCACAAATTTTGCTCAATACCGAATTCATTTGTAGATATATGTGCCAGACTGAATGTTCACTACAAATTAGATAATTAGATTAACCAAAGATAACACTGTCCATTTTTATTGTTTTGTTGTTAATGCCTTGATTATGTTAGTGTGATTAATTTAACTTCATTAAACTTTAACCGACTGGTGTCTGGAAAGCAGAAACTCAGAAAGAGAACATGTGTATTGTAGTATTGGGCTGTGGTTTTGGATTGATGTAAATTTGTTGTCTTCACTGGAATTTATTCTTGTTTGAACTTCTGGAAGTGAAAGCAGAGCACAGTCTTTAGAGCCTGATTCATATCTGGTGCCAGCTGTTGTCTTTGATGTCTGCTTTATGTAGAAAAGCTATTGAGATGCAGGTTTTTACTGAGACTTTCATACACTAAGGCTCTTAATAAAGGAAGTAACAAAGAGAATATCTCTACAAATCTGTAATCTGTGTTTTCCTGCATAAGGAAAAGCACAATATGTCTGAAGTTACATTTCTTGTCATTGATAAGGTTGGATTTAAGGTGATGGAAAACATGGGCTTGAAGAGACTGCATGTTCTAACCCAGTGGTTGATAGATATACATCCAACTATGGCTTCATGCTCAGTTGTTTTGTAAGAATATGAGTATTATTATAAAAAATAATGGGTTAAGAAATGTGTATTTCTCAACCACTGGCAGATCCTTGTCCTTCCTATGTGATGCCCACCACCTTGCCACTGCCATTGCTCAGCATCACCAGGTGTTATTCCCAGCAAAGAGCTGGCACTGGGTCCACATTGCTGTGCTGGTCAGGACTCAGCAGCAGGGCTGGTTTTCTACCAAACCTCAAGAGTAAATCTGAAAGTGGAGGGCATGTTGTATTTTTACCTGAATCCCATGTACGTGCTCAAACCTCCAGCCACGAACCCCTTTAGAAGAGGTGGAATTAGACTCATGACATGCCAAGTCTTTCCCTTTTTCTGATCAAAAATGTGATGCCAGTGCCTGGCAGCACAAACACAAATCATCCTGTTCCTTCCCGTTGGGTCTGGCACCTCCTGTCCAGTAGCCAGTGCAGTAAATGGAGGAATCCCTCACTCCCCAGCCACCAGCAGATCCCCATGCTGCACCAGGCTGGTCCCACGCAGGAGTTCATGCTCATCCCCTTCTAGCTTCAAAGCTTCCAAAATTCTCCTTACTACAGGTTGCTTCTTATCTCCCCTTACATCCAAATTGGCTTATGCCCAGAAAAGGAGGGAGAAAATGGCATTTTAAAAAATTTAGATGTATATTCTGTCGCTTGGAGCCAATTTAAGGCGTTTCATCTTCCGAAATATTTCATCTTATTTCACAGAATCACAGGGGAAAAAAAAATCACAGAAAAAAAAAAAATATTCTCACTGAAAAACAAGTCTTTGGATACAAATGTACAGCAAGCAGGAAGCTTGGGTGTATTGGATCTGCTGTCTACTGTGTAGAAATCAAGCTGCTTCCAAGTTCCATGGCTAACCAGGCAGAAGGTTTGCAAACACAGGTGGAGATCAGAAGCCAAGGGCAGGTCCAGTGGCCAGCAAGGTGTCTCCTGGCTGCTGCTGTGTATGCATCCATGAGAATGTAAAGATTTGCTTTTCTTTTTGTCTTTTTAACACATACTTGATTGCACAAACTAAGTATTTGCTAATTGATAGCAGAGGGTGAAATACATCCTACAGCAGCTTTAGTGGCTGATGTTTTCTTTATGTCTATTACAGCTAAATGAATTAATATTAATATTTCTAAAATAAATTTCAAATCTCTTTGCTGACTTCGTGAGGTCCAGAGGTTCATGCCTTCCATGAAGGACCAAATAGTCTTCCCAGCTATTCATGAAGAACATAATACATCCCTGCTGTTAAAATATATATAGCTGCAGTCATGCACACGCTCACACTTCCATACATACAGCACAATAACAGGTTCAAATGATCTATCTTATTTTTATATGCAGTGTGCGAATAGGTGTGGGGGTGTGTTAACGTATTTTGGCAGGAGAAGAAATGTTTCTCCAGAGGCTGAAGATGTATGTATATATTAATTTGCCTGGCTAAGAGAAGAAGCGTCTTTAAAGATGTACTAAAGAACCTCATGTTCCTTATCGTTCACTTTGAAAGTCTGTCCTGTGGAGCTTGTGACTCCTGTCATTTGCAGCTTCCAATGTATGAGGCTGAGGAAATCAGCCTTGAAAGATGATTTATTTTTTAATTTTTTTAAAAATTTTAATCAATGATAGCAGAGACAGAAAAAACAAAACCAAAAAACAATGGGTAAGTGCCAGTGGGGCTGCTCTTTTTTTTCCCCTTCCTTACCTCAGTGGATTCTCCAGTGCTTTGCTGCTGTCAGATCAAAGGGTGGCTGTACTTCAGTCAGCATTACAGCTCTTAGATCTCACCTGCCTCTCACTGGAATCATGGGCTTTTGCTGACATGGGACGTTGTGTCAAACAAGCACCATGAATGTCAGGGAGAGTATTCACACAGGGGATGGTGACAGGTGCATTTATGAAAGCTGTGCAGCAAGGTTTGCATATCTTTACAGTCATTTATGTATTTAAAATAGGAAATAAGTTTCTTGGGTTGTTGACATGTGTTCCGTCAATGTTTCCTTGGCTCCAGCCATCAATTCCTGCAGTGTTAACAAGGGGGGCTGCGAGCAGGAGTGTGTTCAGCTCGATGAAGACCGATACAAGTGCCAGTGCCAGCCAGGCTACCGGCTGAAGAGGGATGCCAGATCCTGTGAGGGTAAGTCCTGCACTACCTGCCTAGAGACACACATTAAAGGCAATTTAAAAGACCCCAGGATAGTGCTTCAGGTCTCTGTATTCATTTGTATTTCACTCTCCTTGCCAAAAGCAGCTTTAGGAATTGCTTATTAACAGGATTAAAACGACACGTGTTTGAGGTGTGAAGTTCACAACTTGGAACATAATTTTAGCTTCATAGTCTCCTGGCTGTTTGTTGCACACTGATGATGGTGAGACAGGTTAGGAACTTAATCCTGGTTTGATTCTAACATTTTATTACTCACTAAGTTGTACATAGAGTTGTCCTGCAGACCATGTTTTTTTTCTTCTATGTAAAGTCTTTTCTTTAATCTGCTTTTGACTTATGTAGCTCCTTATTGCAGTCTCATTCATTCATCTTCCTCTTCAGGTTTCTGAGCAAACACTCACAGGCAGAACAGGAATACTACCTTTGGGTTTGATTGTGGTTTGGGTTTTTTTTGTTGTTTGTTGGGGTTTTTTTTTCTCGTATATCTTAACATATTCATCAGTTTTTAAGGCAAATTCCTTCCCCAATGCAAGCGCACACACATGGTACCCTTGAATATGCCAGAGAAAGATAGGGCCAAATTTATGGATTTATTGCACTAAAATTCCTGTCACAAAACCGTTTCCATATGGCTCCTCTTCTGCTCGGAAATTTTATATGCTGTGTATAAAGTGTAAGTAAATCCTGCTGTTCAGCTTGCTTCCAACTCATGCTGTGTGCAACGAGCACTTGGCCTTCGGTTTTGGCCTCCTCAAGTCCTGTCCTCTGTGGAGACAGCACACGCTGCGCTTCAGCGAGCATCCTCAGCCAGCTCTGTTCTCCGTTTCTCACAGGGTGGCCGTGTTTTGTCCCTGAGATTGTCAGAAAGAGTCAGAAAATGGAGTGTTCATGGGGAGAGGCCATCAGAGACCTTCCTCTGCTGTTCTCCAGCCTGTTTCCAAACCTCTGGTGACTCCACCGCTCCTCTAGTACTCAAGATGTCCTTGGCCAAGCCAACATGGATCCCTGCATAAAACCTTTTAACATTTTTTTTATGGTGTTGTGGTGGGACAGAGGTTGGACTGGCAGAACCTGAGTGTGGCATTGCCCATTCAGGTGGGAATTGTCCCTTGAGTGGTCATGGAGCAGTTCAAACCTTCGTGTGCCACTTTGTGCTCTGGCTCAGCATAGCAGCAAACCGAGCAGGCTCAGTCCCCTAATTGATGAGGTTTTGCCACCACACAGGCAGCTGGGGCTGTTCGTTCCCTCACATCATGGGGCTGATGAGGGTCAGCCACCCACCGAAGGCAGCAGTTTGTCACCAGCCAGTAATTACTGAACGGTGGAGAAGGGGCAAGGTCAGCTTTGTCTGCAGGTGAGACCTTAGCTGGAGGTCACTTCTATGCCTAGTTACCTGTGTTCAGGGTGGTGTAAATCAAAATATAATAGCACAACACCCCCCAGGAGGACAGCTGTGGTCAGAGGAAGGAGGATCTGTCTTGCAAGGGGATCTCAGCTGGCAAAATGAAGACTGAGTAGGATGCTTTTCTCCCATAAATACCTTAGTGAATCAACACCTGGGAGAGAAAAATGCTAGTTAAGCCAACGGACAAAATTTTTACAGGATTAAATGAGCGTAAAATGGCCATGAGTACATTTGGGTTAGAAATTAGAAATGTTTTAAGTAGAAAAGCTGGAAGGAGGTGAACCTGGCTACTTTTAATTTCCAACCAGAAAGTATAGCTGCTGTAGTGCTAGTTTGGACAGAGAAACTACAGCGCCATGAGGGTATTTACTACTGCAGAGGTGGCTGTGCTGCAGGGGTGAAGTCATCCCTGCTCACTCTGGGAGCTAACACTGCAGCCCATAGCCCTGCAAGGCTGTACAGAAGCACCCAAGCCTAGCAGGGTGGTGCAGCCTTAGAGTGGAGGCAAACCAATGGGATGGAGTGATGTGGCATCAGATGAAGTGATAAGATAGCTGTAGCTGCTCCAGGGGTGAGGCGTGTGTGGATTGGTCAGCAGTGACTATGATATTTGTGTAAGAGAATGGGCTATAAAAAGCTGTGTGCTAGAGTGAGTTCTCCATTGGGTTAGACAGGGGTGGTAAGAACAAAGATCTTTCTCAAACCACTTTGACTTTCCTTTCTATAAGTCACTGCTATTTCTACCTCTAACACTCCCTGCCATGAGAAGGAAATCTTACGCTTTTTACACTTTTCATTTTCTCCACTGTAAAGTCATGGTTACTATGAGAAAGAAAATTAACTTGGTAAGACCCAATTTTCTTTCTTTAAGTGCTCTAGAGGCCATGGCAGATAGGAGTGTAGACCCTGTTCTTTACAACCTTGCAGTGAAGGTCTGGAAGGTCCCCAGCACATGCAGAGCCCATACTCACACTTCCCCAAGAACATTGCTGCCATCCTAGATCGATACATTGCCATGGCTTTTTCAGATGAGGTCTCTGGATGTTCTTGGACATCTAGGGAATGAAACAGTTCCAGTAAATTTTTTCTCATAGTGTTTAACAGCTTGGAACAGAGCTTTGTAGGATGGAGTCTGTTATCCACTAACGTTATTAAGTCGAACAATGAGAGCCAAATGTGTAGGAAAAAGAACACTAATGAGTTATTTTTAGCTTTTTCTGAAACCTGCCTATAACAGGAAGGAACAGATATGTCAGTGGAAAAACAAGTCAATTAGTGGTTGCCTTATCTCCTGAAGATCTTTCCTTTACAAACTTTTATCTTGTCTAAGGACTTACAAAGCTGCTATCTTTGTTCAAATTACTATGTTTACTAACACCTACCCTATAATTTGTTGTTTGCTTGTTGTCATGTCACAGAGGATTACAAGTTTTACTCTATGCTGTAATCATTCTCAAATTAAAGCTTTTGATGCTCTGAAAACCTTTTTAATATGCAGGTTTAACAGATGCTCTTTGATAGTGATTTCATTTAATTTATCCAAATAGAAAAAGAATTGGCAAATAACTCAGTATTTCATATCAGTAAGGAACGAGTTCTTGCTTGAAGCTAAATCTTTTGTAGACCTCAAATTGTCGAACTGCAGAACCAAGGTGTCAGCCTTGAAAGTGTCACATAGGATGAAATGCTGCTGTCCCTTGGAAACTCATTTGCAACCTATCATGTTGAAAAGGCCAACAAAAAATTTCAGTTCTACATCCTTAACAGTGATTTTATTTTATTTTATTTTATTTTTTAAGATACTGTCAACTCAAACTCTCAGCCTGGGGACTTGAACGGTTATGTTCTTGAGAGGGCAGGATGTGAAACAAGGGAATTTGAAGGTGTTCTGGGGCAACATCCAGACAGTGGCACAAAATGCCACTGGCTACACAGAAAGTGAAAATTGAAGGAAATTAAAAAACCCACCCCATATTTAAATATATCTATATAAAATAGAGGTCTCCTGCCTAGCTCTAGGTATGTATGTGGTTAGCTACTGGAAGAGCAAAGCAGCAAGGTCTAGAGAAAAAGACCTTCAACTCTTCCCCAGGGTTATTGAAACCCTTCCTCACTGCCATTGCTGTTGGACGGATGTTAACTTTTCTCCTGGTCTGGTAGAAGTTGGCTTGTACAGAGCTTGAGCTGGCCAATGAAGGACATGTTGGGCTGGAGGCGAGTGAGGAATATTGGTCAAATGTGTCAAATTGGACAATAATTAGTAAAATGCTAAAACTGAGTTAGGGCTTGAATTGAAAGGAGATAGGCTTAACTTTCAAAAAGCTTTATTTGAAACTAAGCAGAACTCTAGAGGGCACATTTTCAAAGGTGTCCTCCAAATTTGCCTACTTAATGTTATTCACCAGCATGTTAGTTTAACTAGTACTACACACTCAAACCTCAACCTTGTGCAGAATATCAGATTTTAGTATGAAAACTCTGGCTCATAACCCAAATCAGACCTGTCCAAACAGTCTCAATAGGTCTATTTTTGTGTGTGTATAGTCTTTCCTTGGGCAAATGCATCAGTATGCTTCCAGGAGGTATGTGTTCCTGAAATAAACCCATAAAACACAGTGAAATTTTGGAGGTGGAGACTTCTGCAGACACTTTATAAATGGTGTTTCAAAGTACTTGCCACTTAGAGACGCTTATCCTTGAAATGGTATGTTATTGTTACAAAAAGGAAAAAAAATCTTGATGTACAACATGAATAGCATATGTTTTTAGACTGAAGGAGGTCTTTTGGGGCTCTTCAGCAATTATTTCCTCCAGAGGCTTTTAAATACTCATTGTTCTGTGGCGAACTCCACTGTTGTACGTGTTTATGGGTTCACACATATTGGAATGCTAATTGCTGTTGTTCAGAGCAACTCTTGAAATCTGTTCAGTTACAGCAAACTAAGGATAAAAATGTACTTTTCTTGTCCTGTTTCCAAGGTGTAATACGAGCCCTGTTTCCTGCTGTTTAAAACATTGCCGGTGCTCCATGAAAAATGTTGTCTAGTAAGAGAGAAAATAGCATACAGAAAAACAACAGCTTTACTATACACCAAATTCTGTCAAATATATATTTTTTTTTCAGTCTAATCTTTTACAACTCCAGTAATCTTCACTCTAAGTTGTAACAATGGAAGGTAAGACTGTTTTCCGACAAAAATGTGACCTTTGAGTTGACAGTGTGCTCTAATTGGTTTCAGTGATAGACCCCTGCACAAGTGGGAATGGAGGATGCTCACAAATCTGTCAAAATGAGAGAGGAATTGCAAAATGCGAGTGTCACCCAGGGTATTCTCTTTCTGCAGACAAAAAGTCCTGTTTAGGTAAGAAACTACGGAGTGTTTATTGGAAAGAATCAGTGCTCTGGCTTACTGAGCTTTGAATGGAAAGAAATATGGGAAATGGGTTTAAACTGAAAGAGGGGAGGTTTAGATTAGATATTAGGAAGAAGTTCTTCACCGTGAGGGTGGTGAGACACTGGAACAGGTTGCCCAAGGAAGTTGTGGATGCCCCCTCCCTGGAAGTGTTCAAGGCCAGGCTGGATGAGGCTTTGAGCAACCTGGTCTAGTGGAAGGTGTCCCTGCTGATGGCAGGGGGGTTGGGACTGGATGATCTTTAAGGTCCCTTCCAATCCAAACCATTCCATGATTCTATGATTCTATGTTATACAAATGTATGCATGCATTTGGAAAGAGCAATTCTGTCTGTGATATTTATGTCAGCCTTGAAGGACTATTTTAATAATGAAAATTGCTCTCTGATCTCTCAAATCATGCTTTCTAGAAACTGGATTTGTAGATATTCTAGTGTTATTCTTGTAGGGTCCCTTTAAAATAATGCCCCAGATAGAGGTCCTGGAAAACTGGTTCAAGTACCATTCTGAACCAGGTCACTGAAAACCTATTTAGAATTCAAAAGGCTTTGTACTTGGAGAACTTTTTCCATATTAATAGAAAAACTTATTGTGAAGGAAGAAATCATGAAGCCTGAGATCTCAAAAAAAAAAAAAAAAAAAAAAAAGCTTAAAAAGCAGAATTCCAAAGTCTTGTATTTAGTCTGGGATTTTCAAAAGGATCTAAAGCATTTCTGACCCAAAATGTGGAGGAAATAGGGGCAAAGTACCCACTTTTCTCTTTCGATATGGTGCTTGGAAACTAGCTAGTTTAGCAGTTTTATGAAGTACAAAGTACCTGTGGACTTCATGGTGCACAGATTTTTAACTGCTTTGTCCGGATCAGGGTACATATTCAGACACTAACTCTAAGCTCCTTCTTTTGAAAACTCAGCCAAAATTTTGCCAATACTTACACTGTTGACTTATCTATACAGAATACCGGGTGCTTTGCACAATACTTACTTCCTACCCTGAGTATTTTACTCTGTTGCCTGTAAGCCCTGCTGCGAGTAGCAGTGCACACCTCAGTGATTCCCTTCTCTTATTGGAATTACTCATATGAGTAAAGTTCCTTGAAAAAGCAAAGTATTTTCAAGTAGTGTAGACACTTCACTGATGATTAATAAAGGGAAGCAGCAGTGGGTTTAATACTCGGGTCAGCGTGTTCGTTGTTTTATCTTGGATACACATTGACAATTCCGTTAATTTATGTATGAACTAAAGCACTAGGTAACTTGCAATGTTATGTATTGGAACAAATTTTCTTCCCAACCTCCTGGCAACAGTCTTTTGAATCATTAAGCATCGTGTCTTACTATATAGATATACAATTATTGCTTTTTTTTTTTCTCCTAGAAATTATTTAACGTCTCTTGCAAATTTCAAGCTGGTATTTGACTCTTTGGAAACTGACCTAGAAGGAGACAGAGGGCAACTAAAGTGTCATACTGTATTTACAAGCTGTATTTACAAGACATGGAGAAACATGTGTAGGATGGTGGCTGTGGTTCAGTTTTTCCAACTTTTTATTTTGCTATTTAAAAAAAAAAAAAGCAGAAAAAGAGGCAAGAACATTTACAACATTCACCAACATACTGTACTTGCAAAGTGACAATTCATTACAGAAAAAAAGGAGAAATAACCTATTTTATTCTAAACAGCAGCTACTCACATGGCTGCTTCAGAGAAGCTGTCATTTACCCTGAAATTCTCATGAGTCGCTGTGTGGTGGTTGCACTGCCTGGGGCCTCTTTTTGCAAGAAGGCTGATTGCATCCGTGAAGCTACTTGTGTTCGAGTACAAGGGGCCATGAGTATGGCACTGGTTACAGCACGTATGGAGGAAAAAAAAAACTGTTAGAAAGTGGTTTACTGTGGTAAAAGGTGAGGAGCTACAACTGGACAGTGCTCTCCTGCATGCGAGACGCTGACCCGGGGTCGATGCGATAAATAATCGCAAACGAAGTGGCAGAAGAAGAGAAGGAGCAGGAGGTGGGTTAGGGGTTTGCCACGTGCAAGATAATGCCAGTCTTTGCACAGAGGTTGGTATTTTCTGCAGCCGTGCTCCACTGCAGCAGTATTTAGTGGGTTTGCTTTGCTTTTTTTTTTTACTAATTATTCCTTAAGTGTTCTTATGCTCCACTGAGATTTTAGGAAGATGGATGCTTTTGGTGGCATTTAACTTCAAAATAGTGAGTGTAAAGCTGAGGAACAGACAGCTTTGAGAGGGGACTGAGTGAAGAACAATCTCCCCACCTACAGCTTTTCATCTTTTTTCTGTTCTTAGAAGTAAGGTGAAACTCCTCTGATCAGAGTAGGTTCCTCCCTGCTGGACTTCTGTAGGAGAAGCTGCAAGACTCAGGGGTGTGACAGAGAAGATCTGTCTCCATTCTACCTGCTGAGACCCAGCCACCACTTAATCCAAATCATTTGACCTTCAGGAAATAGTCAGATATTTCCTGTTCCATTAATTTAAATATAATGGTTGTGAGGACCTAGTGATAATTTTAGGGTACTGGGAGACAAGACTTTTTTCTGGGTTCTTCATGTGACTTCTTTTGCCGTTGCATCTATTGTAGGAATAATAAACAAGCTACTTTGGCTGGTACTGTAAATATAATGTCTGATACTGTAAATATTCATGTTGAAAGGTTCAAGGTCAGCGATGTTTTGAAAAAAAAAAAGATTATTTTGGAGAATCATGTCGTGAGTTCAGTGCTCCTACATTCATCACATGCTCTCATTTGTAGACTTAAAATCCTGGTGCTCTTTTCAGTGGATGTTTGAAAATAGAGCCATGTGCGTGTAAAGCAATATTTTTATTTTTTTTTATTTTAATATCCAAATGAACATCTCTGCCTTTCTCTCTGCTTCGTAGACGTGGATGAGTGTGCAGAAGGGAGAGCCAGGTGTGCTCATCGTTGTGTGAACTCTCTGGGATCCTTCACCTGTGTCTGTAATCCTGGCTTTGAGCTGGGGGCTGATGGAAAGCAGTGCTACCGTAAGTGACACTTGTACAGCTCTGCCTTTCAAGCTGTCTTATCTGCAAACTGCTCTGCTTCATTTTTAATTCAGTTGGATTAGCACTCCCAGTAAAATAAATGTATGCAAAAGCTCAAGCTTAATACTATTTTCTTCATCTTCTGCTACTGCTGGTTTTGCAACTTGATACATCCCTAAGCCTGTGTTCACAGACCTTAATTACTGCATTTCAAAGAGCAAATAGCCCTCTTGGTTTATCTTCAGAGTCTGGTGAATTCTATTGCGGAGCTACCAACATATTGCTAATCTGTGAAATGTATTCCTACCTTCCTTTTTTATATGCTGGATCTAATGCAAAAGAAAACCAACATGATGACCAGCTCTTGTCTCTATCTATCTAGGTTTACTTATGTTTCTCCTGAGATTATTGACACTGTTAAGTAGATGCTTTCTTAAAAAAAAAAAAAAAAAATTTAAAAAGCAACGATTGGGGCTGAAAAAATATTTGAACCACTAAAATTTGCCAAACTAAAATGATGCTGAGCCCTGTTGTCTTCCCTCACATATTTACCTCTTGCCAGTGGGGTTTCTTAATCAACACTACTTTTCTGGAGGAGCCGACTGACGACTGTCTCCCAGCACTGTTAGGTGATCCCTGGGCTGTCCTTGAGGGTAAATTTAGATTCATAAAGGAGGTGATGTGGAAGAGTTGGTGTTATTATGGACCTAACATAAGCTCACTGGAATGCAGACAAAAGCATGACCTGTTTTAGCAAAGAGGTGGGCAAAGATCATTCAATCTAATAATACTCTGCAAGAACTTTCAGCAGAATTTCCTTAGGAAAATATGCTGCATGCCAGAGAATGAATGTTTTCTTTAAGACTGTGTGTGAAAGAAATAATAAGAATGAAAATCAGTTTCAAAGCATTAACATACATTAAAAACAAAAACCAATTACATGAGAGACATCCTGGAGAATTATTTCCCAAGTGATGGGGAACTGTAAGTAGAGCAATGGCAGAGGAAATGCAATTAATATATAGGTACGAAATGATATGTTATGCAGATAAAAAAGTTATTTATACCACTTAGATTTCATTGATATTCTGATAGTATTTTTTTTTCTCAAATGTTCAGCAGATCTCTGGGGACAGTGATTCTCTGTGCCTTATGTACAAAATTGCAGAGCAAACAATAAAAATAAAAACACTCTGCATATATTTATGATCAGGATTATCCCAGTGTTTGAGCAATTTACAATCTTTGTTTATTCTTTCATTTCCCCAGTGGCACGGGGAAGAGCTGTTATTGCAGTTTTTACTGATGAAGAACTGAGAAGCAGTAAATGATGCAGACAGTGTATAAAGTCAGATTCTGTGTTTGGTCACTGGGTTTCCTAAATCCCAGCTTAACACACTGGACAGGAGACTAGATATCTTCTCCCTGGTGCAAATAATCATACCATGCATGAGATGTAGCACTCAATATATGTTCTCCTAATTTATATCCTCTTCCAGCTAGAATTGCATTTCTTGTCACAGACAGGATTCTCCCTGGGGGCACAAAAAGGGGTTGGGTCAGAGCCACTGACAGAGATGTGGCCATGAGCCGTGACAGTGGGAAATGTCATCCTTCTGTACCAGACCTGATGGGCACCACTCTGAGCTGAGGTGTCTTTGGAAGTACAGTAGCTCCTTCTCCTAAGTTGTATGAGAAATTAATTCCTCTCTAAATAGTTCTGTAACAAGACAATCCAGCTAATTCTTCAAGAGAAACTTTATAACTGACCTTATTTTTATTTTTTTTTTCATCCTAAAGAAATTATTTAATGAATTACGTTGGTGAGAATGAGATGGATGGATGTTTCCTTTCCTCCATGAGGGTTTCCACTGGACCTGGCCAAAATATTGTGAGGATTGTCCAGCTCAGCTGAGTGCCGGAGGGTTGGCTGGTCTGTCAGGGAGAAGGGGCTGGTGACAGCATTGTACCACCACCCTCTCTTAATTGTAGGGGGACAAAATCTGAGCAGAGGAGCTGATGGTGCCCTCTTGAAGGGATGTCTAAGGGTCAAAACCTGCAGATTATTTTGCTTTGTCATTAGGTGTCAGGCTCAGCAACAGGACTCTGCTAGGAAAATTTTAAGGCATTTGTGTTCAGTGGATGTTTCAGAACACAGCTCTTTCCCATTCACACACAAAACTAAAAGCTGCTTTTTGGAAAGCATAAGAAATCTGGGTTGAGATGAACCACCTGTGTTCCTCAGATGGTTCCTTTCTTCCTTTGGGGCAAGGGCAGAACTCACTGTTAAGTTCAAACAGAGCATAAATATCAGGAAACCCATGAAAAGCTCCTGTAGACTGCTGAAACGGTGAGCTGGCTTCACGTTACCAAAGTCAAGAGCAGCCACTGTTATGACACAAGGAGACAAATCCCTGGAGTTCAGTGACTCCAAAATATGCTCTTCTCAGGTGTGTGTGGGAGATGAGTTTATATTTCCTGCCACAGCAGTTGGCTTATGGATGCTTTTTTTTTACAGAAGACTTACTCTCTGGTGACTCTCCCCCTGTGCTTTTTTTTTAACATCCTTTTGATTTATTTCTCTGCAAGGTATTGAAATGGAAATTGTCGATAGCTGCCAGGACAACAACGGTGGCTGCTCTCACCACTGTGAGCACACGACTGCGGGGCCACGCTGCTCCTGTGATGATGGCTATCGCCTGGATTTCAATGGCAAAACCTGCGCAGGTAATTCACAGTGAATGCCACATCTCTGCAGGAAGAGGTGTGCTGGGTCTCTCTGCACGAGGAGCCTGCAGGAGAGTTGTCCCTCAAGGAAATACCTTCCCATCCTCTGCCCTTCTCCTGCAAGTTTTAATTAATACCATCCTCTGGTGTTTTCTGAGCCACTGCTTCAGCCTGCCTCACTCTGCGTGTTTGCTGGAATTATTAATTAACAAGAAGAAGGAATTCTGCCTCCCAAATGGCAGATGGCACTATGGTGCTTCACCAGTTGCCATATCTCATTGTGTCCAGCCCAAGCATCACTTGCCTGACTTTTTTTCCTTCCTTTCCTCAGCCAGTCCCTCTTTCCAGTGGAAAGAGGGTCAGCTCTGGCTGGGAGCGGTGGCACTGCTGTTTTGAAGCACTTCATGCACAAATCTCCACTTTGTGTTATGGAAGTTGCTCTATTTCCATCAGATTTGCTCCGTGATGAGATTGTGCTTCTGGCTGTGAGAAGTCTCACTTAGGAAGTGAAAGCAATAGTTAGATTTGTTTTTATTTCAAGAGAAGAGCTTAAAAATTCCTTCATGTTTTATACGATTTCATGATGGGATTTTTTTTTGTTTACAGCTTTTGCTATGCAAACTGTATCTCCTTCTGGTTTAGACTCGCTGTCACTATGCCATTAAAATTTTAAGAATAGTGAAGAAGAAGGGGGGGAAAAAAAAAGGCATCACAGAGCAGGGTTGTAAGAGATGAGGAGAGGTAGAGAGCGGGAGCTCTGGTGAATGTGAGAGGCATTACAGATGAGAAGGGTCTCGCAGTAGAAAAAGCCAAGTGCTGGAGAGAAGAGGAAGGAGCGGAGGAGGAGGGAAAGCACTGAGCTCTGCAAGGGCGGTTGATGCTGGAGCTTAAAAAATGAAAGGAAAGAAGGCGAGGGAGGCAGATTTGGATTCAGAGCCTCACAGGGGTGGGATGGGTTATGCTGTCTCGTTTGTGCACGGAACAGAAGAGGCAGAGCAGCCTGCTGCCTGTGCCCCAGCTCAGTGACCTGCTGATGGAGATTGCAGAGGGAAGTGGTTCATCAGCCCATGGCAAGGGAAGCAAGAGCACAGGGGAAGGGTTTGGCAAGGCTGAGAACATGAAAAGCTGCTCTTAACAGCAAAAATCTCCTTTTTTGTTGGATGCACATTTCACATTCCTGCACAGACAAGGGCTGTTGTTAGACCCCAGAGTAAGACATCGTCTACAGAGAGCTCGGCTTGTGACATTTCTGGGTGTCCAAATAACCTGCATTAATCATTTTCATGCTGACCTCCTCACCTCAATTGATTAATTACGTTTTCTTTCTCCTTTTTCTTCTGCCAGTGTTGCCTAATAATGTTGGTACTCCTTCCAAGGTTAATTGAGACACTGACCTTTCCCATCTATGGCTGCTCATCTGGGTAACATTCAAAAGCGTTCTGCAGACTCAGCATTGACAAGGTGGTTCTTGAATGGCCACCGACCTGCTCAGCGGGCTGGAAGGGCTGAGATCAGCTGAGAGCCTGCAATGAAAAGATAACAGCTTGATTCTCCTATCTAATCACCAGAACGGTGGTGTCAACAATACCAATTTCCAGACTGACACAGGGCAGGATAAGGCAATGGGCAATTAGTTATCAAAAACTGTAATTGCACCTAGCAGGCTGCTGATGTCCTACGAATACCTTGGTGGATCAGAGCATTGTTTCACTGTTAGTTTGCATTGAATAAGGCTGAATGTGGAAAAAATCCAAATGGTTAAATGTAGATTACTCTTAAATAGATGGTATTTGTGGGCTGGTGAGACCTAATCATTGTCTGGTTTTGTGGTGGTTTCACTGGGCTAGTATTTGGCTGCAGCCAAACACAGCTGCTTTCTCACTCCCCCCTACCCAGGGGATAGAGAATTGGGGGCAAGAGTAAGGAGATTCGTAGGGTGAGAGAAGAACAATTTCATAATAAAAGAAATAAAAGAAAACTTAAAATAATAATTATGTTAAAATAATGATAATAATAGTAATAAAAGATGCAAATGAGTGATACCCAGTGCCATTGTTCACTACCCACTGACCAAGCCTGACCTGTTCCCAGATAACGATCCCGGAGGAGCGACAATCCCGACCCGAAACCGCAATCCCGGGAGAGCCAGAGCCCGAGCGAAAGCCAGAGAGAGCAAGAGAGGAAGAGCCCCTCATGGATCTCCTGCCCATGGGGGACAGGAGATGGAACAGCCCCTTGGCAGAGCCAAATGCCCATGGAGCTGATCCATTGCAATATTCCTCACCCCCTGAGATCTTGCGCTTGCAGACGGACAAACACAAAGTCCTTCACTCCCAGGGACACAAATGCCAACACTGGGATGTTCTCAGTGTTCCTCTCATAACAAATCCCAGCTGAACCCAAACCCCAGCACTGTTCTAGCTGCTAAAAAGCAACCCAGCTCTGTCCCAGCTACAAACCAGGACAGTTTTGTAAATCACCTCATAGTAGTTAAGTCTTGCAGAAAAGGTGCCTCTCCCTGGATGTGGAGGTCAGTGGGTGCTGTGGGAGTAGGTAGAAGGCAGCTGCTGTCAGGATTCAGTGTTTTATGTGGGTGAAAGGAAGACACAGAAAAGGCACATGCTGAGAAGCTCAGTGGCTATGGAGCAGAACCATGGCAGCAGCTCAGACCATGTCCCAGGGCTGACCGAGCTGCCCTTTCCTTGCAGAGGTGGACGAGTGTGAGACCGGCGAGTCCTGCTGCTCCCAATTCTGCATCAACTACGTGGGTGGCTACGAGTGTGCCTGCAAAGCGGGGTTCCAGCCCAACGCTGACGGCTGCTCCTGTGACGGTGAGTGCTTCGAGTCCCATGGCTCAGTCTACCTAAGCACAACAGCAAGAAGAAGAAATGCTGTCCAAGCTCATCCCAGGGCTTTGGTGGGCATTTCCCTAATAAAAGAATCAGTGACCCCTATGCCACCTTTGCTGATGAGGTTTGCAAACTGTGTAACTTCCACTTTGTGAGCCTGGAATACAGTAATGACCCAACATCCAGCATGGGTGAGCGGGGCTGTGGGAGATGAGCCAGCGGAGAGGAACCTTTCCTCTTCTCTCCATGGACGCTGTATATTGATATGTCTTAAAGATGACTCTGCAAAAGGAGAGCCCTCAAAATAACCAAAGGCTCAACTGAACTTAACAGCTTAAAGCAGCTATTTTCACTTGAGACAAAAACATGGGTGAAATAATCATTCCATGTTGCCCTGAAATGTTTTAATATCTCCAGTACTAGAGAGAAACAGAGAGCCCCAAAGTACTAAGAAAATTGTGTTTTCTTATGTGCAGAATGATTTCTGAGATGCAGCCAGCAAGCAGCAGCACTTGCACCTCATCAGCATTTATATCTGATTTTTCTAGATGTGGATGAATGTCGTCTTGATAATGGCAACTGCGACCATTTCTGTGTTAATTCTCTGGGGTCGTACGAATGTGTGTGTAAGGAAGGTTACAGGCTTGGTGTTAACAGATGGTCCTGCATTGGTAAGTTATTTTTATATCTTGAAGGCCATTAAGTATTTCCCACTGATGTAAAATGTGAATTCAACTGAGATTTTTCACAGAGCCTGGGATTTTGGGAGCCCAACTTGAGCCGTGTCTGAATGTGGCCAGGGTAGAGCTACGTACAACATGTGGATCCCAAGATCATCCTCAAGTAATGGGTTTTGTCAAAGATTAATGGCAGATGAATGCTTAAATCCACTTAAATCCATATATTGGAAAATCTAAACCTTGTGTTTTAGAAATAAATACAATTTTGACAGGGTTTTTTGCACTATTTGGTGAAGTTCAACATCCTGTGGAAAAAAGGTAGCCAGATTCTGCTTTGATGAACCAAGGCAAGTTTTCCTCTAAAGTCAGTAAAGTGATTCTGGATTTCTGCCAGTGTAACCAGTACAGAATTTAGCCTAGCAACTTAATTTTATAACCAAGTTTAGCACCTGCTAAACCTTGGGCAGAGTTTGATATTTTAACCAATTCCAAAAAGAAAGCCAACTGATTTCCCATTATTTTCAGGCTCAAAGTTTAGTTTTTCTGAAAATAAATTGGACAGCCAGCCTCACTCTCTATTTGTCATCTCCAAAATGAGCTGGAGTAATGACCTCCATTAACTAAAAATAACTTCAAACTTCAAGTGAGGAAAATTAAACTCCCTGTTTAATTTTTTTTTGGACTTTCCAGGACTGGAGTTTATTTCCAGAAGAAAGGAAAAGGAAAGTTGTGTTGTTTTTTTTTTCCCCCCTCAACCCTTTTTTCTTTTTTGGATAGCAGAATCTTTGTTTATAAATACAGATGAGAAAATGAATCGGCTGCGACTGCTGTGCAGACTGCACAGGGGTGTAGCTGGAAAATCTACCAGCATAATAAAAATAAGATGTAAATGAGAGAAAATTGTCATGGAGGACAATTCAGAGGCAGGTCCTGATGACTTGTGTGTGTGTCAGCCCTAGGTGGGGAGGAGGTGGATGTGGAGGAGACAGCGGGGTTCGCCGGGGTGCCGGGGCTGCAGTTCAGAGGTCCCCCCCAGCTTCTTCGCTTCACGCTCGGTGCCCTCTATGAGGATGAAGACCCACGAGGAGAACTCAGCGTGGTGCACAGGGTCGGTGAGTGAGCGAGCATCGCCTTTAACCTTCCCGGCAAACTGGGGGAGTGGTCTTGGAAAGAGGATGTGGGGTGAGAGTGATGCTGGGCTGGCTGGGTGTAAGCCATCAGGAGGAGCAGGGGAGGGGTGAGCATTCATCCTGCTTTCTGTTTGTCCTCCATGCCGGCAGAGAGGAGGCATCACCACGTCCCATCCCAAATGGGATGTGTTTGGGGAACAGGGAGGACCCCTGGTCATGTCTGCCACTCCCTGGATGCGGCGCAGAGGTGGGCATGGGAAAAGAGAGTAGCACAGCAAGAAAGGGATGGGAGGCTTCCTGGAAAAACAGGGTGTCTGTACAAAGCCCCGGAGGCAACAGAGAGATTCTGTTCATCCCAGGGATGAAAGGATTGTGTGGGTCACTGTGATGCACAAAACCCACCACAGCATCACAGAACTGCCCCAACTGGAAAAGATCATCAAGTCCAACCATGAACCCAACACTGACAAGTTCCCAACTAACCTATGTCCATCAGCACTATGTCTACACGACTCTTCAATCCCTCCAGGGATGGGGACTCCACCACTGCCCTGGGCAACCCCTTCCAATGCCTCAGAACCCTTTCAGCAAAGAAATTCTTCCTCACATCCCATCTCAACTGCCCTGGGCACAACTGGAGGCCATTTCCTCTTGTCCTGTCCCTTGTTCCTTGGTTGAACAGACCCACCCCACCTCACCAAAGCTGCTTTACTGAGAGCAAGCCCTTAGGAAATGCTCCCTTTCTCCTAGAGCTAGGAAATGGAGGTGTGGGGATGTGTGTGTGTGTGTGTGTGTTTACAGGCCCTTTTATGATAATTGCAGGGATTTTTCATTAAGATATGTGCATTCTTGTTCATGGAAAAAACAACCCTCTTGGAAATTCAGGTCTGTTTTGATGCTTTGAGCATGTTCTCCAGGAAAAACACGGAGCGATCCACGTAGAGCTCAGGCTGGCCAAGGGCTTGACACAGCTGGTGGCCGAGGACGTGAGCACACACGGTCACGGGAGTTGGGTGCAAAGCTGGACTTTATGTCAATCTTTACACCTGAAGGTGGAAACTTTACCACTTAAAAATATAATGAGTTGAAACCCCGTGTTTGCTTTCTGATGAGTGCAGTAAGTGCTGAGGGGTCACCAGGGAGGAATGAGATTTCTTATTTTTGTTATGTATGTCCTGTGATTGTTATGAATTCTAATTATTCATCTGAGGACTGTGGCTTACAGGCAAAAATCAGGAGCTGATCTGGGCTTTAATAAAAAAATCAACTTCTTTTTATGAACGAAACTGTTAAGACCTCCCAAATCACACAGCATCCAGACGGACCCAACAACACTGATAACCAATTGGGAAACTGATAAATGAGATAACCGCAGGCAAAATTATCAGGCCTAGGAACCACAATCAAATATTTATTGACCAGTTTTTACATGTTTTAGTTACGTTTTAGGCACATAAATTCAGGTGTTATCAGTCGCAGTTGAGCATCTGCACTTTTTTTAAAGTGGAGACTTTGCAGCACCTGGTGGTTTGTAGGAAAATGTGATGAGAAATGAAACTTTTAATGGTTTAGTATGTTCTTTTACCTCCCAAATATTAGCTTATTCTTTGTACTTTCAGACATATTTTGTGCTGCTATCTCTATTATAAAAATACAGCTTTAAACAATAAGCTAGTGTAATTAATTAACTCTTTTCTGTAGACTGAATGAATTTTTAATGTAGAAGCCTGATGTTTTTAATGGTAATTCATATTCTTCTCCTGAAGTATGAATTCCTAACCTGTTCCAAGTGGGAGCACTGGGATTCTGAATGTCTGAGAAAGCTTGGGCATTTGTTCAGCTTCAGAAAGAGGAACAGTTGGGTACTGAGACCTAGAGGAAATCTGGCTTCACATCGAAAATTGCTGGTGAAAAGCAACCAGCCTGCTGACGTACCGTTAGCTGAAATAATCCGCCTGCTTGCTTTCAGGTGGTGTTCAAAATCCTCTTCCAAAAAGCCTCCAGCCACAGCCATAAAACCTCAGAGGCAATAAACTGACCATGAGGATAGGATCTTAATGTCACCGAGGTATTTTAGCAGAGAGTAACATTTACGTTCTATGCCTTTCTCAACAGACCCCACAAAGAGAGAACACGAGGGTGTGCGTGTCTGCGCTTGTATTTGGGTGCAAGGGAGAAAAAGAGGGTGGGGAAGATGAAGGAGGAATGCATTTTCACTTTTCTTCATTTTTCTACGTAGACTAAGCCTTTTCTTCATATCCATGAAGAAGAAAAAAAGTGATAAATGCTTATTATGCTTTGTTTTCCTAGAATAACAGTTGAACTATGCTGTTAAAAGTATCACTCGACTATGTTTAAATAGCACCATGTCCACCTACTGCGACGGGAGCACAAAAAGGAGAGCCTGTCAAAGAGAAAAGGAGATTCTCTCCCAAGAAATATTTTTAATTATATACAATATTATCAAGCATGAGGTGCAAATTAACTTGTTCTGAAGGCAAAATATTTGCTCTTAAAAAGTAGTTTTAAGTGGTCTTTGGGCAATTACAGAGTTTAAAGGAGTAGATTCCAGCTAAAGTCCCAGCTTTCCTTTTAGACTCTAAAATTTGAAGAAGAAAATTTGGGAATCTTCATTCTGGACCATCTTTTGGGATGATTCAGTGATATTTGCAGTGTTACCAACATGAATGCTATCACGGGGAATACTTTTTTTCCTGACTGTCTACATTGTGCAGGTTTCTTTTTCCGCTTCTGCATCTGGAACGTTAGGTAAGAGCTTGTGAAAGTATTTTATCTGGATGCTCACTAAACCTTCTCTATTTTTTTTTTTTCATTTCAGTTTGCCTTGATAACACTTTTGGCAACGACTGTAGCTTGAGCTGTGAGGATTGTCTGAATGGAGGCCAATGTAACAGTGAACACAGCGGCTGCGTTTGCTCGCCTGGGTGGACCGGCGTTATCTGTAATGAAAGTGAGTACCATGTGTTTGAGAGGTGGGGACTTGGTCCTGGTGCTGTGACACTGCAGACAGGTAGGAAGAGTCGTGTAGACACAGTGCTGAGGGACATGGGTTAGTCGGGGACTTGTCAGTGTTGGGTTAATGGTTGGACACAATGAGCTTAAAGGGCTTTTCCAATCGAGGCAGTTCTGGGATTCTGTGAAATAGGAATAACCTGTTGTCCTTCTAATCTGTAAAGCTCTCTAAGGAGCACAGCTGCCTCGTAGGCAGATCAAAATTATTTTGAACTGTGACACATGAAATAGAAATGGTAAGGGATGCTCCAGTATACAACAGGACCCCTCAAACAGCGAGGTCTCTGCCCTCCAGTGCAGAACCGTGCCCTTCCCGAGGATCTGTGTTGGT